TGGTTTTATTTCCACCAAAACTGAAGCTGACATTTTGGAGCACTTTGATGTTGAGTTGTATAAGTTCTTTATTTTTTTTGGATTCTATTCCTTAATCACACAGGTCATTTCCAAATGTCTTCCATTCAGCAGGCTGCCTTTAGATTTATTGATGGTTTCCTTAACTGTGCAGAAGCTTTTTATTTTGATGTAATCCCAATAGTTTATTTTTGCTTTTGTTTCCCTTGCCTCAGGAGACATATCTAGAAAAAAGTTGCTAGAGCTGATTCAGAGAAATTATTGCCCATGCTCTCTTGGAGGATTTTTATAGTTTCGGGTCTCACATTTAGGTCCTTAATCCATTTTGAGTTTATTTTTCTATATGATGTAAGAAGTAGTCCAGTTTTGGGGTGCCTGGGTGGCACAGTCGGCTAAGCATCTGCCTTCAGCTCAGGTCATGATCCCAGAGTCCTGGGATCGAGTCCCGCATCAGGCTCCTTGCTCAGTGGGGATCCTACTTCTCCCTCTGCCTGCTGCTCCCCCTGCTTATACTCTCTCTCTTTCTCTGTCAAATAAATAAATGAAATCTTTAAAAATTTTTTTAAAAAAGAAAGTAGTCCAATTTCATTCTTTTGCATGTTGCTGTCCAGTTTTCTCAGCATGATTTGTTGAAATACTGTCTTTTTCCCATTGCATATTCTTGCCTCCTTTGTCGAAGATTAATTGACCATATAATTATGGGTTTATTTCTGGGTTTTCTATTCTGTTACACTGATTGATGTGTGTCAATTTTTGTGCCAGTACCATACTGTTTTGATTACTATAGCTTTGTATTATAACTTGAAGTCTGGAATTATGATGTCTCCAGTTTTGTTTTGTTTTTTTTCAAGACTGCTCTGGCTATTCAGGGTCTTTTGTGGTTCCAAATAAAATTTAGGATTGTTTATTCCAGTTCTGTTAAAAATGTGGTTGGTATTTTGATAGGGATTGCATTCATTGTGTAGATTGCTTTGGGTAGTAAAGACATTTTAACAATATTTATTCTTCCAATCCATGAGCAGAGAATGTATTTCCATTTCTTTGTGTTGTCCTCAATTTCTTTCATCAATGTTTTATAGTTTTCAGAGTACAGGTCTTTCACCTCTTTGGTTAAGTTTATTTCTAGGTATCTTACTATTTTTGGTGCAACTATAAATGGGATTGTTTTCTTGATTTCTCTTTCCGCTGCTTCATTATTAGTGTATAGACATGCAATAGATTTCTGTACATTTTGTGTCTTGTGATATTACTGAATTCATTTATCAGTTCTAGTAATTTTTTGGTGGAGTCTTTATAGTTTTATATATAGCATATCACATCATCTGCAAATAGTGAAAGTTTTACTTCTTCCTTTCCAATTTGGATGCCTTTTTGTCTGTTTGCTGTGGCTAGGACTTTCTGTACTATGTTGAATAAAAAAGTGAGAATGGACATCCCTGTCTTGTTCCCGACCTTAGGGAAAAGCTCTCAGCTTTCCCCATTAATGATGATGTTAGCTGTGGGTTTTTCATATAAGAACTTTATTATGTTGAGGTATGTTCTCTCTAAACCTACTTTGTTGAGGGTTTTTATTATGAATGAATCTTGTAGTTGTCAAATGCTTTTTCTGCATCTATTAAAATGATCATATGGTTCTTATCTGTTCTCTTAGTGATGTGATGTAATGGAACTTGTTGACTGATTTATGAATACTAAACCATCCCTGCATCCTGGAAATAAATCCCAATGGATCCTGGCAAATGATTTAAAAAAAATATATTGTTGGATTTACTCTGCTAGTATTTTGTGTTTTTTTGTTTTTTTTTTTTGAGGATTTTGCATCTATGTGCATAAGGGATATTGGCATGCAGTTCTCTTTTGGTGGTCTTTTTTCTGGTCTTGGTATCATGGTAATGGTGACCTAATAGAATGATTTGGAAGTTTTCCTTACTTTTCTGTTTTCTGGAATAGTTTGAGAAGAATAGGTATTAATGCTTCTTTAAATGTTTGGGAGAGGGGTACCTGGGTGGCTCAGTGGTTAAGTGTCCAACTTCTGATTTCAGCTTGGGTTGTGATCTCAGGGTTGTGGGATCGGGCCCCATGTCGGGCTTCACATTGAGCATCAAGCCTGCTTGGTATTCTTTCTCTCCCTCTCCCTCTGTCCCTCCACTGCTCTGCCCCCAGCTTGCATACTCTATCTCTCTAAAATAAATTAAAAAATCTTAAAAAAAAAATGTTTGGTAGAATTCTACTGTGAATTGATCTGCTCCTGGACTTTTGTTTGAGTTTTTGAATACTGATTCAAATACATTGCTGGTAACTGGCCCGTTCAAATTTTCTATAATCTCTTGTAATCTTATGTATTTCCAGAGTGTTGGTTGTTATACCTCCTTCCTCATTTTTGATTTTTTAAATTTAAAACCTCTCTCTCTTTTTATGAGTCTTTTGTTTGTTTGTTTTTAAAGTATTATCTCCACTTATTATTTTTTTCCCGGAGAATAGTTTTCCTTCAGTCTTGAATGTCTTAGCTCCTCACATGGGCTTTGGTGTCACACACACAGGTCTAAATCGGGATGGGGGTGTTCAGTTCTTCTTTGCTTCAGGAGAGCAATTCCTGACTACCTTGCTGTGTATGGTACAACTCACACAGGAATGTAGTTTCACATACAGCTTGGGGAGAACACAGGCATTGAAGATACTCACTTTGGAAATGTCCCTGACTACGGTTGCCCTCTACTATGTTTTGAGTAACGAATTTCTTAATGGCTTTCTTCTTGGGCACACAACAGGCATAGTTGGTGCAGTGAAGTGTCTGCACGTGGCTGTGGCCCTTTTTGGCACAACAATTATTCCTTCTTTTCTGGGTCATCTTGGAAGTGAGGACCCAAGAGAGGACGGATCACTGTGTTTTCATTTGCATTACTCTCTTAGCAATTTTTTATTTCTTCTTTGACTTCTTGGTTGATCCATTTATTATTTAGGAACATGTTATTTAACCTCCATGCATTTGTGTTCTTTCCAGATTATTTGTTGTGGTTGATTTCTAGTTTCATAGTGTTGTGATCAGAAAAGATGCATGGTAGTATCTAGATCTTTTTGAAATTGTTCAGACTTGTTTTGTGGTCTAATATGGGATCTATTCTGGAGAATGTTCCAAAGTGAACTTGAAAAGAATGTGTATTAAGCTGTTTTAGGATGGAATGTTTTGAGTATATCTGTTAAATCCATCTGGTCGAGTGTGTCATTCAAAGCCACTGTTTCCTTGTTGATCTTCTGTTTGGATGATCTGTTTATTTAATGTAAGTGACGTGTTAAAGACCACTACTATTATTGTACTACTATTGAGTAGTTCCTTTATTTTTGTTAATAAATATTTTATGTATTTGGGTGTTCCCATATTGTGTGCATAATATTAATAATCGCATGTTTTTCTTAATGTCAACTACATTTTAAGCCCTGGGTAAATCTATCTAATATAGAGACTTAAAATTTTCTTTTTGTAGTCAAATGCTAGGAAAGCTTTCAGAAGAAAAGTGTAGAATAAATATTACTAACTTAGGTATACTGAGAACCATATACAGAAGACAAGGGCTTGAACATCCACTGAGAACAGTCCAGGCATAAGGGGCATATGCCAAAAGGAGTTACATGTATTTTTGGTAAATACATGTTGCCAGATATTGGTATATATCTAAAGTTGTTTCTTAAGCACCTGGAAGACATTGGCTAAGTTTCTCTTTCCCTAAGGTGACATCCTTGAGAAAATTTATACTCTGGGTTGTAGTACTATCTAACAGATACCAAATGTTATCCAAATAAAAATATTCGCCTCTACTTAATTGTAGAAAATTATTTCCTAAAAAATAAGGAAAACTATATGAACTAAACAAAAGATGACAGAAGATATATATTTTAAGAAAATTAAATGTAAACTTTCAGATAAAATATAGCTAACAAAAAGTGGCTATAAATACCTCAGTTCATTCTACATTCTCTAAATCCTTAAGTCTTAAATTTTATACAGTTTTACTGAAGAAGAGGAAATTTATAATTATTGCCAACATTTTATTTTGACCATGCAAATACTGTCCAAATTTCCTTAGACCCATAAAAATATATTTTATAGAATTTTAGTTCAAAGGTCAAAAGAGAAAAGGCCTCCAACTATTTTGTCAGGACATTCACAAAGGCCAAAATTATTTCTACAAATAGTCTTTATGTTAACAATCCTAGAGAACACAATACAATAAAATCATAATAAAAAATGTAACTATTAACAGACATTTATTTCAAATATGTATATTGCCTTTTATTTGAGGCTCAGAAAGTGGTAATTTTGAACTTCTGGAAACATGATAATTTGCATAACTCACCTAGAAACACAATGTAACAAATTAATATTCAAATAGATTGGTTTATCCCAATGGCTAGAAAACAAATTTTAAAAAACCAGTAGCTATTTTATGATTTATTTTTGAGGAGATACTTCAAATAATCACAAAGCGAGAATATTCAATATAGAAAATATTAAAATTATAAATATAATAAAGAAAATAAAACTGGTTAATACTAATTTTGAGTTATATATAAAACTTGCATATTAACCAACAACTTGGAAAGGGAAATCTGCCATTGATGCAGACAACAAAAGCTCACAACGTTCAAATCAATCATTGAAAAGTTGGGAAATTTAATTTCCAACCACAAAATCATTAGCTTTAAGTATATTTAAAATATTTATAAAATAGATATATTACATAAATCTTCAAAAGTATACGTATTTACATTTAAAAATATATCATAAAGGAATTAAACATCAAATATACTGTTGGGTTTCAGATAAATAATTCATATTTAAAAATGTAAAATAAAATTCTCCACACTATTCTCTTAGTTCCAAATTATGACTTACAGATTGTACTTTATTCCAAACATCAGTATATACTAAATACATGGAAAGCTTTTTTCTCCCCCCCCTTTAATGATGAAAAAATCGTTCTTACCCCACGTCAGTTTTATTCTGAATAACACTGATATCTTCTGGACCCAGCTCTGGGATCCATTTCTCTATTTCTTCCATCCAGGGATATCGCAAAGATGAAGGGACCACTATTAAAAGAGGCCATTCCTCCTTATAGAAGTAAGCAATTGCAATTGCCTGGATTGTCTTTCCTAGACCCATCTAAAATAAAAATAAATTAGAAATACATAAATATATAAGTAAATAAATGCTGAAATATTTTGAATGAAAATATTAATCAAATATTTACTTAAGAGTATTATCATCAAATATGACCTCACTGATATGAGGAATTCTTAATCTCAGGAAACAA